CCCCGTATTAGGGTAGGCTTCGAGCCCCTTGGTGGGGACATATAGTGAGCTGGTGATGAATATAAGGTAAGTAGGGGGTCTACCGAATGGTGGATTCATCTTTGGCACCAGGGGAGGGTCAAATAGTCATGGTCAAGTCAAGAGCTTGACAAAATATGTAAATACATTTTGTCAAGCTCTTGACTAACCAACTCAGGGGGATCATGACCCCCATGGCCACCCCCGGACTGCATTTGGGTCTACCCTAATTGGAAAACCATGGCAAGGGTTCTACAATACAAAAAAGTTTGAGGAACTCTAATAAAAAGAAAATATCAATGTTTCTTTAGACAATTGGGTAATTTTAGATGGATTTTAAAAGTACTGGAAATATCAAGTTTGCATTAAAAAAACAAAATAAAAAAGTTATACCTTTCTAAATGGTGTATATCTAGACGTATCCCTTATTTTAGTCTTCGGATGTGATAGAAATAAAACATTCAAATCATTCTTTAAAGAATGGCCAACAAGAATTCTTCCTTGTAATATCCCCGCAACCTCTTTTTGTACAACTGAAAATTCCTCCCCGGTGATTAGATTCTCTCTACGTATACCGCTGACTTCGGTTCTGTAGTCTTTTACTTCCTCTCTAGGTTTTACATACTTATCGTAAATGCAGTCGCCGAATTTATTAACTAAAGAAACTCTTGCAAGCATATGATCTTCCCCATTATAGCCAATACCAACCATTTCGCAATCCATAGCTATAAATTTTGTTAATGAACCTTTTTTGTCGCTTGCTGTATTGTTTATGGTATCTTTTAGTTTGTTAGATAATCGCATTGATTCTAAATTCGTGTTTACCGCCTCCATGTTTTTCTTTCGATCACGTCGGAATATACCAGTGTAGAGTTTCTCCTTTTGGGTGACTTCTTTAGTTTTATCCTTTACTAAGCTACTTGATAATAGTTTATGCCAGTTAGCGTCGATCATACCTCTTAAAGCAACGGTTTCTTTCTTTTGTACCCTCTTTTCTTTCATCGTATTTTGTGTCATTTTGGGCTTAAAACATTGGTGTAATATTATTTTTAACACGTATATTACACTAAAAAGTATCCAATATATAATTTCTAGTAGATAATAAACGAGAATTGATAAAACGTCGGCAATTTCACCGATTAAAGTTTGCATTGGACCACATCTGACAGTTGTTTTGACAGACACCACATGGCGAAGGTTACCGCAGATACGCAATGACAATGCGATAGGACAGATAATAAAATCAAATAGTTTGACTACTGTTCGGAAATAAATTGTATTCTAAATAAGAAATCATTGAAAATTGTTGTTCTTTTTACCAATTTTAACACAAAAGTTTTGTGTTATTTTTCATTATGATTGAAATTAAGTTCAATTAATTAACAAGTACGAATTCAAATTCGTTGAAAACAACGTTTAAACCAATTTTAAGTGATTTTTTTATTCAATATTTTTAAACTTTCGTGGTTATAATTTTTGGACTCATTAATTTAATTTCATTATCGAGTTTCAGAACGATTCTGTCAAATTACATCAAACATTTGTCAGCTTGACGTATTGCGTCAATTAAAATTAGTCATACATTGCTGTCTTTATTTCTAGAGAAATAAAGCATGTGTTACCAAAATCGACTTGTATATTAAACTCAAATGATATAAGAATGTACAACCTTGAATGTAAATAAACAGAATGTCAGATTCTAGCCGACGTGTTTCGCTGTTTTGGATAACACCGTGGTGGGAGAATGAACAGTGAAATGCCTTCGTTGGAACTTGTCAGTATTAACTTTCTAATCGCGGCGATCGGTCCTGATAAGATATTCGCGGTGATTTAGTATCATTTCTGTGTACAACGGGAGCGTAATGTCATACGAAACTTTGAAGGAACGATTGACCGCTCACGGTCAAGAGCATCTTATCAAATACTGGCCGGAACTAAACGAAAATGAGCGGCAACAATTGGCGGGAGAAATCGGTAAACTGGACATGGCGGAAATGAATAAAATATTCCAACGAGCTATGGATAGCACTAAAGTGATTCAAGAGAAGACTGATGATGATTTGAAGCCGATACCTGAATCGCACTATGAGTCCGTGCCCGGTTTGACGAAGGAAAAAATTCAAGAGTACGAAAACATTGGTTTTCAAGAGATTTCAGAAGGTAAAGTTGGTGTTTTGTTATTAGCCGGTGGTCAAGCGACTAGACTTGGGTTCGGTCATCCTAAAGGAATGTATAACGTTGGTTTACCATCAAAGAAGACTTTATTCCAAATACAAGCTGAGAGAATATTACGAGTACAGAATATGGCTGCAGAAAATACAGGAAAAGAGGGTAAAATAACATGGTACATAATGACATCAGAACACACTATGGGACCTACTGCAGATTACTTCAAAAATCATTCCTATTTCGGTTTGAATGAGGAAAATATTAAATTCTTCGAGCAAGGTACATTACCTTGCTTTGATTTCGATGGGAAAATATTTCTGGACAAGAAATACCATGTTTCTTCAACTCCAGATGGTAATGGTGGGTTATACCGTGCTTTAAAAACTCAAGGTGTGTTGGAAGATATAAAACGAAGAGGTGTTCAGCACTTACATGCCCATTCAGTCGATAATATACTTACCAAAGTTGCCGATCCCGTCTTAATAGGATATTGTAAGAGTAAGAATGCCGATTGTGCTGCCAAAGTTGTATCAAAATCATCTCCGAGTGAAGCTGTCGGTGTTGTTTGTAGAGTGAATGGTCATTACAAAGTTGTAGAATATTCTGAATTGACAGATGAGGCAGCTGAAAGAAGGAATCCAGACGGCCGACTTACCTTCCGGGCAGGGAATATCTGCAACCATTACTTCTCATCTGAGTTCCTAACAAAGATATGTGATTACGAAACGAAATTGAAACTGCACGTTGCTAAGAAAAAGATACCTTATGTTGATGAAAACGGTATCCGTCAAACTCCCTCTGAACCGAACGGTATTAAACTGGAGAAGTTCATCTTTGATGTGTTTGAATTCGCTGAGAAGTTTATTTGTCTAGAAGTCGCTAGGGATGTCGAGTTTTCTGCTCTCAAAAATTCGGATGCTGCTAAAAAAGACTGCCCGTCTACTGCCAAGGAGGATTTACTGCGTTTACATAGAAAATATATAAAAGGAGCTGGTGGTATTATTCAAGATAATATTGATATTGAGATTTCACCGTTACTGTCGTACGGTGGTGAAAATCTCGAAGATTTAGTGAAAAATGAAGTATTCACTATATCACCATTCCACTTAAAGAGTATTTATGAATCTACCACCAATGGTGTAAATGGGAATCACTGAAATTATAAAACTATAGACATGTGCAAATCAGTTCAAATAGCTTTGAGCTGTGGCTCAACAACTGTAAGGCTCATGGCTCACCACTCAAATAACTAATATTAATGTGAAAGTTTAGATGATTGTTTGTTATTTTGTAGCCTAAACTACTGAACAGATCTTGGTGAAATTTGTCATAGTTGTAGAGGATAGTCTGGAAGAAAACATAGTCTACATACATTTGTTTTGTTTATTCCACACGGACTGTTTCGCGGACGAAATCTAGTACCTCTATTCAGGTACAAATAAAGCTGTATTTGTAAGCTTCGTGTGAACCATAAACTGATCTACAGATCACCTTAAGTTGAGTTTATTTATCAGGGAAGAAATATAAATCAAATGACACCTCAATTAGTTCAGTCTTTAAGAATACAGCATACACTAAAATATAATCAAGTGGCTGATGTGTTCTTCCAGACTATGCTCTAATCTATGACAATTTACATCTAGTTTAGGCTACTAACAAACATCCATCTAAACTTTCGCATTTATAATATTAGTAAAAAATACCTAAAAATTATTAGTCAGTCAGTTTAAAATGATTCATCTTTGATTTTTTAGGTCCCCACGAATGCAGAATATTTTTTAATAACTATCTTGCTTTATGATGCTCCAGTAATTAAATCTTCCATAGATAACTAACCTATGTTTAATCCAGAGCACAGAAATAAGGAAAAACAAAAGGGCTGCAGTGGCCTTTTACTTGGGGGATTTATTGTTAGGTAGATATCAGCGTAAATCAATCTATATAGGTTACTAATCTATGAATATCTGCCATTTTGCTTTTTTTTTTGTGCCAACTGCCAGCTACTTAATTTTTTAATAAATAATAATCAAAATTATTTGTATTTAAACATTTTCTAGTCTAGTATAATTTTCCTATTCCATTAGGTTATTTTTTAGCAATAATTAGCTTTATATTTAGCCGTTTAATTGTAAAAATACAGTTATAAAATTGTATACAGCAAATGTCAAACTTTCGCGCCAAAACGCGATGTTTTTTTTACTCTTTATTGTCAAAGATGATTTTATTACCAAAATATGTTTTTTTTTTCGTATTTTATAATTTTAACATCACAATTGGTTTTAGATAAATTATGTAAATATAATATTGTTTTGTAAATAATTTTGGCATTTGAAATGCATTCGTAATAAGTACTTCGTGTAAATTAAAAAAAATACTTCAGAATTATAATTTTAACATCACAATTTAATAAAACAAATGTTTATTAAAAATTGTAGTCATAATTGAAATGTGAATGGAAAAATGTTTTGTTTTTAAACATAATTTGTAATTTTACTACTATTTTTTCAATTAATTTCAAACATTATTTTCAAGTTTCGGATCTCGGAGATATAGCGTAATGTTAAAATATTTTAAGTATGTAAAATTGTTAGTTTACAATATATTATATGATTAAATAAACATATATTATTCAAATATGATTTTTTCTTTCGACTTAAAAATTGGTACACCCATGTTCTGTATCTGGACATAAAAAAAATAAAAGTCAAGTTTGAGAACCATAGACTTCAGTGTCAATCGGTTGTCGACCGCAACATTACTTACTCAAGTCACGTACAACGACTTTACCTTTCACTGCGACCACTGAGATCAATTTAGACCACTTTAAATTGCTATTTTGTCTAAGCAACTAATATAATCAAATTATTTATTTTCTAAAGCCCCAAAAAACCTGGTCGAAATTATCTTACCCATTGTCTACGTAAAATCGTTCTTAATTTAAACTTTGACAAATTTTAAAATTCAAAATTCGAACGTTATATTCTTAATTAGAAGTTAACGGTGGGTTTTATTTATTTTTACCAAGTTAAAAATTATCGTTCGATTATTTAAGTCAACTTAACCTTATGCTGGACAGTATCAAACCTCTTAGTTAAAAAGGTGTTAACTTAAAAACAGGTTTTTTATTTTTCTGGGCCAATAAACTCCGATTTGTGTATATACAAGAAAAATGTTTGTCAGGAAATCTGACACCTTTATTTATTGATAAAATATTATTGACTGACGAGATAGAAAGGAACAAAACCATTGCGACATTTTAAAAAAAAGCATAACGTTTGTGGAACACGGCTACGGGTTTTGTACCAATATTATAAAGAGGAATGATTAGCATTTTTGTATAAATTCAGATAACTCAAAAACTACTGGGCCGATTTTAAAAATTCTTTCACCGCTAGAAAGGTAATTTATCCGTGAGTAACATAGGCTATATTTTTTTAACTTTACGTGGAAGAATTAGCAAACAACATGCAATAAATTTAAAGGTTACAGATCCGTTGTTTATAATTAACATGAGAAGTAATTGTAGGAGCAGAATGTATATATACAATCGGGGAATCTGTCGGTATTCAATCTTAGAATCAAGTCATTTGAACGTCTGTACCAATTGACACAATAATCAAAAGGTCGCAGCTTTTAATTGTACATGTACGAAAAAGTTGGGTGTATCGTAAAATTACCTGTGTTGTTTCGTCGTTTGTATAACCCACTGCTATCTAATTGGTATTTATAAAAGGCGAAGATTCAATACAAAGCATTTCTTCTGTAAGACCGAGGAATTCAGCGACTGTACTTTTATTCCCCAACCATCAAAGAAAGGACACGAGGAAGAGAACGAGAGAGCACACAATGTTTAGAGTACTGACAGTTGCCGTGTCTGTGTGCTTGTTGCAATGTACGAGGAAGTTGTACTCTACCACTGTCTACGCTTAATAGTTGGTCGTGAAGATGTAAAATGTATTGCGCCGTAGACTAGGAGGTAGAGGTGTTGCTTGTTATAAGGTTAAGAGAACGGGTTTGCGAACGCAATACGTTGCGTCATTTGTAGTGATGGACGTGTATCGATGTTTATATCGATAAAAGTTTATTTTATCGTTTAGTCGAAATGCTTATTGTTACTTTGTTATGAATTAGTTTATTGTAAGGACGTGTAATTTTTATAATTTTGTTAACAATTTTTAATGTTACCGTCAGTTTTTTAATTATTTCTGAAGTACATAGTATTGTGTTTTTTATTTCATTTTTAAAATGTTAATACCAACATCGTATAAAATTATGCAGATAATATGCATTTAGATTTTTTAACTAACTAGTGGTACAAGCCGTCTCTTAGTATATATATGACATATAATACTAAATCTACACTAACGGACGTAGTAGTTGAACTAGTTTTCATAACAATTGTTTGATATTCAAGCCACTATATTTGGATATCGATATTATCCGTACATCACTATTAATAATGCAATATTCGAACGAAACAGGCCCAAAGTGGCCTTGGGTCAATATAACCGCGAAAATTACTCCTTTCGATTTCTCTTTCTATTATAATTATATGATATGAAATTTAGACACATTCATGGTCATTTTAAAACAATGTTACAGATAATAAAATTACGTCAAACAATTTCAAATGTAGAGTAACAATATTGATTTTGTAACATATTCGAAAATTATATTTTTAACGCCTAGCCTTTCTAACGCATTTTTGTCTGACTTTAGTAGTCACGATATAATATTGATGCAACTCGAACATACGAAGGCACACGTCAAATGGGCGTAAATTATATGAAAAAGTTTCATTTCCGGAGTTTTTAAAAAAACTTAATATTTGAGTAAAAAGCTAGATATTTATAACATGTATGACGTCATAAAATAGTTTTTCTCTTAAATTAAATTTAAGTAGACACCAAGAATTAGTAATACGACAAAATCACATCGGTAGAATCATACTAAAAATATTAACAAACAATCGTCTTAAAAAATAAAATTATAAATGCGAAAGTTTAGATGGATGGATGGATGTTTGTTAGAGTTTGCAGCCTAAACGGCTGAACGGATCTCGATAAAATTTGGCATAGATGTAGAGGATAGTGTGGAAGAACACTTAGGCTGCTCACTTTTGTTTTTTTTTTAATTTTACGCCGACGGTGTCGCAGGCGAAAGCTCGTATGATATATCACCTAATTTTTTGTATGTAATTCCAATTAATAACACCTTTAGACACGAAATGTTATTATGAACGAGCTATCGCCTGCAAATTTAGTGCGGAAATAAAAAAAAATGTCTACAACATAGCCGCGGGCATCTACCTTCTATCTTCCAGTCAAAGTCCCATCAAGATAGCGTTCTGTTCCAGAGATACCGATTCCATTCCAGAGATACCGATACCGTTCCAGTGATACCGATACCGTTCCAGAGATAGCGGTCTGATCTTCATTTTGACAGCGCAGATTTAAAAAACAATTAACTATAAATGTAGATGTATTTTTTTTCAAGTCCATAGATACATTGGTCTCGTTTACTTTTGAAGTTCAGAAGATCGTCTGCCATTTTGAACTTTAACAAGACGTCCTTGACATTTGAGTTCCCGCCAAATGTACTTTGACATTTCGCTGACAAATCGAAAGTTTAAATCATTGTTGTTTAGTGATGTATTGTGAAATATTTGATGTAACGTAACTTGTTATTTCACTAATTTGTCATATTTCGCAAGATATCCACGTTTCCTGGCTGAAAGCATCTTAAAAGATTTACAACGATATCGCAAAATACAAATATTAAAACTATATTTGCCAGATTTGGTCCTAACGGAACATATTTCTTTATCATTCTCTAAAACGTCAGAAATTAAATCAGGTTAGTGTTACAAAATTTCAATATGGCGGCGATAAAAAAATGGCCGATTAAATAATCATCTTATCAATTTCCGCTAGTCTCGTTGTCAAGGTCACACGAATGTCATCACATATCTTTACAATACAAGAATTACATTTTAATAAAACTATTTTCATACATGTTCTTAAAAATGTTATAAAAAAGCTCTAACTACCCATTTTACTTTAGTATTACTATAAACTAAAGATCTTCTATAAACTAGATTATCTTCTTTTGCAACTTCTAACGCAAACAATCGTTAGCACTTTTGACAGCGCGGAATTTAAAAATAAATGGCCTAAAATATAGTCGTCTATGTCAGCTACCCTTCTGTGTAAGTCCGAAACAAACGCGGCTTGTGGACAGACAGACAGACAAAAAAAATTAAATGCGATTTTCGTTACGCAAATACATCTTCCCTAAATCTGGAATTTTTATTGGATGT